GCACACAAGCACACAAACACCACACAAGCACACACGCACACATACACACAACCACACAACCACACAAACACACAACCACACAAACACACACACACAACCACACACACACACGAACACACAAACACGCAACCACGCAAACACGCAAACACGCAACCACGCAATCACACACACGCACAACCACACAAACACACAAACACACACAAACACACAACCACACAACCACACAAACACGCAACCACGCATACACGCATACACGCAAACACACACGCAAACCCACAAACCCACAAACCCACAAACACAGCACACAGCACACAGCACACAGCACACAGCACACAGCACAACACAACACGCACAACACACAGCACACAACACATAACACACAACACACACCACATACTTCACACCACACACCACACACCACACACACACCACACACACACCACACACCTCACACCTCACACCGCACAACACACAGCACACAGCACACAGCACACAACACCACACACCACACACCACACACCACACACCACACACCACACACCACACACCACACACCACACACCACACTACACACAACACAACACACAACACACAACACACAACACAACACACAACACACACCACACACACATTTCGAGCCCTCTGCCCCAAGACGAAGTCCCGAGACCGCCAGCAAGCCCCCTAGAGGGCTCGAAGAGGCCCCCAAATGCTGAATGGCCCCCAGGAGGCCCCAAGAGGGTTCCACGAAGCTTCCTTAGAGGCTCCCCAGAAGCCCCCAAGACACGCCCCCGAGACCGCTCCAAGAGGCCCCCGCGAGGCACCCCAAGACACCCTAATACGTATCCAAGAGGTCTCTGACCCACAATCCAGGCACAATGGTGGGATAGGTCTGCACTTTTTTCCTGGTCATGCTCCTCCTCAGGATGCATGGGCGCAAGGCTCCCCGAGGCCCCCGAGACGCCTCCCTCTCGTCCTCGTCCTGCTTCTCCCCCCTCTCCTCATCCTCTCCATTTTCCTCCTCCGAATGTTCCCCGAAAAGTTTTCCCCAACGGTTGAGAGAACGGATGCTCGTTCTTAATTGGCGCGCTTCTCGAAACAGTCCGGGCAACATGCGCCTGCCCGACGCTTTCCGAATCTTTACGGTCACGCAACACATGGCAACGACGACATTATACGGGCTGGCGGAATGAGCGAAGCGATTCAGTGATGGACGGGCAGGCCGACTGCATGAATCTCTTGGCTCAGGTGCGCTGCGCGGAATCAGGGGTTGCTTCAAGGCCTTGGGCGAGAATGGCTCTTGAGCCCACATTGGCGACGGTTGAGTATCATGATGACGACGATGATATATCATGAAGACAGTCCCCGTGACTGTAGTCACGAGGAATGTCTTCATGAGGATGCGAACATCGGCCATCGCCATCTCCCAGCATGGTAGGAGGGCAATCGTCTGACCAGGAGATGTCTGAAATCAATTGAAGGATGCTGGCGCGGGGACCACCCCAGACAGGCAGACAGGAGCGGCCCTTGGTGCGGAGCCCGCTGTGCGGAACCCTACGTGGGACCCGTCCGTGTGCTGGATCTCTGTGCTGTGTACGAGTGGGGCCCGATGTGCGGAACCCTGAATCCGCCGACCCAGTCGGCCAACCAACCCAAACTGAAGTGCGCCAGCCTCCTTTGAATCATCGTCGTCGTAGGGGAGACCGAACAAATGATAAGGTGGGATCGAACGACGTCACAATTACGTCGAAGGGGAACCCCTTTCCTTTGTCCCTTCCCTGCTGGGGTGGGAGGGGTCCAGAGGGGGGGACCGGGGGGGATCCCGGGGGCAGGTCCCAGGGGTTGAGCAGGGACCGACCGTCCCGGCATTCCTATAGTCCTACCACGAAGTGTTCTCAGAACCTAAAAGTGTTCGAATAGCAAAAATCAGGTTCTTAGAACATGATTCCGATGTGATATAAAACAAGCCAGCCCCAGCCAGAAATGTTCTCAGAGCATGTCGTGCAAACCACAAAAAGGTTCTCAGAACATATTTTTTGGTGGGCCTGTAGGCGAGCCAGGACGCTTCGCCACTGCTTGAAGGGGGGGGGCTCCCTGGGGTCCTGACCCCCACCCTTTAACGGGCGAAGAACGGTATAAGATAAACTTTCCGCCGTCGGGGACACCTGCCCCAGGGCGGCTGGAAAGTTTATACCCTTACGGTGGCACCGTAGGGGTATAAACTTTCCAGCCGCCCAGGGGCAGGTGTCCCCGACGGCGGAAAGTTTATCTTATACCGTTCTTCGCTCGCTGAACCCTGGACGGTCCCGCCTGTGGACAACGAGGACGAATGGGGGGTCCCCTTGCCGGCAGACCCTTCCCGGGCGCCCCGGCCCCCGGCCTGCATGGGCCCCGGCTCAGGCCCCGGCTCCGGCCCTGGCCCGGGCCCGCCCCCGAGGAGGCAGACGGCTCTCCTCCTCCTCCTCCTCCTCCTCCTCCTCCTCGTCATCAGCTCGTCGTCGTC